TAGTAGTTGTTGTTGTTGTTGCTGTTATCATAATTTCGACAATAGCACCAGTAGTATCAACGGCTATCCCAATAATGATGATAACTCAATGATAACGATAATAATACTCGACATATAGACAGACAGATAGATAGGTAGATCGACAGAGATAGACAGATAGATACAGACATATATGCAAATACTTACACACACATATGTGTATGTATGTATGTATGTATGTATGTATGTATGTATGTATGCACATACATACATACATACATACATACATACATCCATGCATGCATGCATACATACATACATACATACATACATATATACACACGTACAGAGAGAGAGAGATGTATTATTTCTATTTTCATTGTATGTATATATATATATATATATAAATAACTATATATATATGTATATATATTCACATTCCTTACTCATTTTCTGTATTCGTCAACGTGTCACTGGGTTTTGCTGTTTCTCAGTATGCACGAACTGCGCAAAAGGATGTCAAGCAACCTGCGTCCGCTTGGCACGTCCTGCACACACGTGCCTGCCAGCATTGGTCAGTCATAGTGGTTCTTGGACCATGCCAAGAACGGCCAAGAATCCGGCTGAAATCGGTGCATGCTTGCGCACACGGGTACTTGTGTGCATTCCACCCCGCCACCAGCGCAGGTTACAGACTTATATCCTCAGCAATGGTGTTCTCTTTCACCCCTCCCTTGCCGCATCTTTTGGTGACCGAACCTGAATGCGTCACACGCACCCTCGATTTTGAACAGCTTGCAAGGAAGCAGATGGTAACATAACATCAAACCAAGGCTATGCGACACCGCAAATGACGGTTCCATGGGCATAAAGCAACAAGCACTAAGGGTCGCAAGAGAGGGTTTGATCCGGCATGACAATGTGAGCTCAGAGTTGTCTTGACATTCGTTAAGAGTGATGATGGGGAATTTCTAAAGTTCGGACTTTCTGACACGAATGGTCTTTCTCCGAACCTCGAGAGTGCGAGAGAAGGAGAGGCTTCTTGTTGCCTGCGGAAAGAAAGAGGCTTCTTGAGGATGCTGACGGCATGACGTAAGTCCTGTCTGCCTTCTACAGTGCTACAAGTAAAAGACAAGCGTCGGAATGCATCCATGGTGCTCACATCAAAGAATTAGGCATGTTTGTGCATTACAGTCCTTGCTCAAAAGCAAGTCTGGCGGTGTCGACCCAGCCATAGCACCACGCGCAGTTTTTCCCACCGCTCCCCGCAAAGTGTTCTGAAGTGGTTGAGGTTCTTGCTTGGTTGCTGCTGTTACTCGGGTGGTGGGCCTTCACCTACCACGAATTCGGTCTGCCTACGATGGCAGCCAAAGGAGAAACCGCAGAAGGAGGCACAACATGTGAGTCTAGGCCTAGGCGTCCCATCTTGTCAAGGCGTGTGTGGCGCAGGCTGGCGACCCTTAGTGTGACATGGCCCTCTAAACTCTCTCTGTAGTTTTTTCGACTACTGCTGTGCGCAATGAGTGTTTTTCCTGTAGTGGGCACCGGCAGGGATATTTGGACAGATGGCTCTGGAACAGAAGCTTTGGTATGGCGTCAGCTTCCTGGCGCTGCTCCTGCTGTGCCGTGGCGTATGTTCAGATGTTCGAGACCAGAAAGGACTGTAGAAGGTGATCCTCGGGCTCTTCCGGAGTTGACCGTTAACATGTCCTGAAGTGGTTTAGTCTAGGTCTCCAGTACAAAGCCCCCCCGACCAGCTGGAGTTCTACGTATTTCTACACGTTTTGAACCCGATCCTGCGACCGCAGGTGTTGCCCATGTTCCCGCAGCATCATCCTGTCGGCCATGCTTTCGCTGGGCACCTGCATCATGTCAGCCACTGGGCAAGATGCCTCACACCGGACATGCATGCTACGCTTGCAATCCAAGACGAATTGGGTGCAGAACCAGGTTTGCTGTAGTAAGTTCGCTATGGCGATTTAGCGTGCCTCTCGGCCGCGGTTCGGAACATAGCAGTGCCATGAAGCACTGAAAGTGAGTAAAGCACAGACTGATTCTTCAGCCATGCGGGGACGCAGTTTGCGTTGAAACGAGCTTTTTCAAAGGCAGCTGCCAGCAGGAAGTTGCATTGGTTGCATCTCCTGCTCGCCTTGCGTTTGCTTCCACGTTTTGCTTCCGAAAGGCATCTTGCTGTTGATGTTGCAGTTGTTCTGCTGTTAGCTCACCAGTGCCCCTCTTCAGCCTTCAGGCCTTTATGAGTGCGGTTGCATTCGCGCTGTCCGGGTGCATCGATGTGACGGAGCCTTGTCGAGCTCAATGGCAGAAGGTGCAAGTCCTGTCATCCCTTATCTGACCCATCATCTGTTGACTGTAGCAGATTTGCGAAAGGGTCTTTCCCGACACCTCACTTGGGGCGCCCAGAGCAGCCAGCACAAGAAAGACTAGAAGGCCTTGCAGACCTGGGGGTCGGCCCCCCCCCCCCCCCCCCCNNGCCCCCCCCCCCCCCCCGGCACCCAGGCTGCAACGGCAGCGATTGGCGGGGCCACTGCTGCCGGCTTTACCGAAGCCACTGTAGCCGCCGAAGGCCATGGCAAGGGAAGCCTGGAAGGTTGCTCTGAGCCAACTGCAGCAAAACGATCTCAGCCACTGAGGGCATTGGGCTTTCCTTCCTAGAAAAAGAGACGAGTCGTCATCTACATCTTCATCGCATTCTAGCACCGTCTGTCAGCTTGAATCAGCCACGATGCTCCCATCCATGTTTGGACACGACATCAGAACGTCGCGAAAGCTATGGCTTCAGGTACACTGGCAAGTGGAGCAGCTTTGGAGGTGCCCGCCGTTGCTTCACCAAGGGCTTGCACGGGATGACTGGTGAAGTCATCTTGTATGGCCAGCCTAGACATCATGACCACAGCTACATGCGTACTTACTTCTGCCAACTCCGCCGGTCTCACGGGACCTTCAGGATTCGGGGTTGCTGACATGTGCAGTATGAACTCAGCGTCCTTCTGCCAGCTTTGCTGATGAATCGTTCGAGGATGGAGGCAGACGGAGAACACTTTTTCGCCTAGTGCTCCAGAAGACGGAAGGCACTTGCCGTTCTCAAGCAAGGGTTAATGCCCCTGGAACCGTCAAGTCCACCCGAAGCCGCCCGAAGCCCGGATTTCACCTTCCAGGTGGACGTGTTACATGCTACTGCTACCCTTGCTCCGGTGTCCTGTCTTTTGCCAGGCAGGTGTGGCAGCAGATGGAGCAATGGGTGCAGAAGGTGCAGTTGCTGCTGATACCGTGGTGAACTCAGTGAGGGCGAGTGCAGCACGGGACTTGCTGCACATGCTGCGAGGCTTGCACACTTTCTTGTGTGTTTCTGCCCTTGTTAGGCGGCGGGGGGCACGGCTGCTGCCGAGGACGGTCTGCACACGAGGGGTCCAGGGTTTGAGACTTGCTACTGCAGCGTGTGGTCGTGTATGGGTGGCGTTGAGAAGCCATGGTACGTGACATCAGGGGGCGACAGCAGCAGAAGCAGCGGTGGCGGCCGATGCTGCTGTAGCTGCAGAGGCAGCTACGGTGGCGGAAGGTGTCGTGGCTAATCAAGGTTTCTGCCCCACATGTCTATTCTGTATACCAAGCAGCTTCGCACATGGGCACTCTGCCTGTTTGGCCGAGGCAGAAGCGTAGATTCCAACATGCTGCAGCAAGCAGAGTTTAGGTTGGATGCGAGGGCTGTAAGGCATGACCCGAGGGAGGCTGTTCGGAGTACCAATCATGCACCCGCTTCCTGGTGCTGGAGACGCCAGAGTCCATGAAGGTGACTAGCCTCCCGACCCCACGCCCAGCATAGTTCGCGAGATTCGGCGGTTGAGCTGGGTTTTGATCGTATAGCAATAGCTAGCCCAGTCGGATCCAGTCGGTACCCAGGTCTGGGTGCACTGGCTTTGTGCGCGATCCAGCAGCTCGTCTGACCACTGGTACTGGCAGTTAGTGGTAGCCCATGGCTGACTGAGAACCCAGGTCGGGGTCCACAAAACCTTTTGCCCCCCAGACCTGCGAGAAAGCTTAAGGTCGATTGCTTTGAAAGCCATGGCTGTAAACATGGAAAGAAGGTGCCACCACAGTATCGAAACATGTATGCTTCCGAGCGGGACCGAACCGCACTTGAGAGAAGTTGATTCTTTGTTTGCGTCATTTTACGTCCAGTCGCTGCTCTCGTGGATGCTGCACGGAGTCTGGTCGGAGTGCGCACAGTATGTGTATACGACTTCATGCTTTGCAAGAGCAAGCGAGCCTAATGCTTTGTGATTGGGAGTCCTGCATGTTACTTGCTACGGCATGATCCCCCAGCTACCTCCTACGTGCATCATGTGGTGCGGCCTACCTCCACACTTGAAGGTGATTTAAACCACTGCGCGACGTGGCCGACGAGGCTCTTGTACAGTGTGCAGCGCCGTGGTTGCAAACCTTTAATCTCGACTTGCTTCGGCAGCCTGTGTGGCTGCACTGCAAACCAGGATGCAAGTCCGGATTCTCAGCTAGGTCGCGTGCCGTGATCCGTTGCACGCAAGAGCTGCGCTGCCATGACAGCTTACACGTATCTCCCTGAAAAAGGTTTCTCCTAGAACGTGGGGCAGAAGTTGCCCAGTGCCCAAACGAAGCAGTACCAAAAGCCGGCAGCGCAGTTCTCTCACCTCTCCCAGAGGACTGGACACCCGACTTCTTCAAGAAGCCATTTCATGACAGGGTCTCCTTCACAAATTTCTGATTTAATGTCGCCGTGGTTCCGGAGCCTGCAGTTGGCATTCAGCCGCAAATGGCTTGCATGCAGCTCAGCTGCCAGCTGCTTCTCAGCACGCAGAAATATTGTCGTTGCCTGGCGACGCCATCGCATCTTGGGCTGTGCGCACATGCATGCAGGCCAGCTAAATCGTGAACTATGGTGCTTTCTCGGCTTCGAGGTCTCTTGCATCTAGACTGCGCAGAATGCGCTTCTCTGCAAACGGCATCGAGAGCAAGCAACAAATTCGGAGCGAATGGAGTGCCGGCGACGGGTTGTGATGACATCGCGACTGCAGCGGGGATGTGCGGGATGTGTGTGTGTGTGTACCTTTCTGCAGCGTTTCAGTCCGAGGGGGTGCAGTTTTGGGCCGGTAGAGTATGCACGCCTTGGTGCTGACCGCCAGCCCGATGGAAGCGGCAGGCCCGGCACGCACTGGGAGCATTGGCCAGCTTTCGGTGGTTTTGTCGATTGTAGTATAATATGCCCTAAAACCCTATTCTAATTATTATTAAGGCTCCTATATTATACCTCATGGTAGAGCAGGTAACCTTTAAGCTTTCATGGGGTACTACATTACCTATCTAATCCGAAAGATTAACCTTTAGTTCCCCATGATACTGGTGTGGTGAATCTGTCCGCTCTGGCCAAAGTGCTTTCGCCGTGCTTGGAATCCTCGCCAGGCTTGTCCCAGTTGTGAGTGCTGAGACCCCCTAAGCCACAAGCCACAAACCCCAAACTGGTAAGAGGCAGATTCGCACGCGCTCAGTGAAGCCATTGAAGCTGGAGGCTTCCGCATACTTCGGCCAGCTCAAAGACAGACTGCTGGTCGCTGCGGGCAGGCCTGGCTTATGTGGTTCTGGGACGGTGGTACTCGACCTTGGGAGCCTGCAAGCGTGGACAGCAACTCCGCCAACCCGTGCGCGACAGAATCACAGGAAAACCGACAAAGATCAACAGCTAAATGAAAGCTGGAACAAAGTAAGAAAAAGCCGATCGGAACCCCCAGGATTGCCCCCTCCATCCTCGCTCGGAGGTCGAAGCTGCCCCTTTCTCGACTATTCTACTAGTATCATTCTAGCCAAGTTGGTGCCCGCTAGCAAAATCTGCGCGCCCCCCCAGAATGAGTTTATCAGGGACCTGCAGGTGTTCAGCGCCAAGCTGCCAAGCTCTAAACAACCCTTCAACACTGACACCGCCTCAAGTTTTCCGATGGCATTAGTTGAAGAAAGCACGCAAGCACGAGATAATGATGAGACTAATAACAACCAAGAGCATACGAAATGCACGAACGATTTAGCAATATCTAGGTGCTGCAGGAGTGAGACGATCATGCCTCCCTTTGTTGCCCTGACAGTTGTCACGCAGATGCCTCGCCACGCCTCCTGCCCAAGGTCGAGGCACGGCATGGCATGTTGGGACTCGGGGATTCCCATTGCGAAGCACGTCCTCAGGGGCTCTCGCTGCCGCAACTGCGACGGCCTTCCTTGCTGCCGGCTGCTCGGCCCTTCGGCAGAGTCGGCGCAGATGGAGGAGGCAAGTCGAAGCATCGGCGATGTGCGGCACGACATGTTGTGAGACATATTGGCCTGCTTAGCAGCAGTAAAGCTATGGATCACTCGAGAAGATCTAGGTAGTACTCCGGAGCATCAAAAGAAGCAGAGTGAGTGCTGCGGGGAATCCGGCCGGGTGAGCTTCAATCAAGCCTGTGTAGAAAAGGGGGCCCCAAGTAGGAAATAGTGTTGTCAAGGTCAACAAGTTCACTTCACATAGTTCAGTACTGCGTGCGCCCGCCACAAATTCACAGAGAAGTATCGAGAACACAGGCTTAAGACAGATCATGCCGGAGTGGAATGCCATGTGTAAGCAGCAAATCGTCCCTTTCATAATCGCAGTATCTCTCATGCATGTGAATCGGTAGATGTCCTCGGCCAGGCAAGCGTCACATTCACTCCGAACCCATGTCTGGCTGATATACGGTGATACACGTCATGGGCAGCTACTGGAGCTGCCACAAGCTTTCGAAATCTTTCGAAGGTGCCAGGTGTCACTTGCACGGCCAGCTACTGCGACCGAGATTGCAGCACCGGAACGCGCTCCTCAGCTGCCACTTCGAGCGGGAGTGACACTCCAGCCCAGAGAAATAGAATGAATGAAACAATTACTAATATTACGATCATGATAATTAGTGTTGCTATTAGTAATCGTATTC